CTGAGTTTTTTATTGATGAATCTGAGTTTTTTATTGATGAATTTGGTACTGAGTTTTTTATTGAGAATAAATTAAACCTTAATTTTAATCAAAAAAATAGTCAATCTTTTGACCATTATTTGTAAATAAAAAAATTTCAAGGTTTTCTCTTTTTCTGATTCTTATTTTAACATTTTTATATATCTATTGGATTTAATATGAAAATAAGCTATTTGTTCAAGATATGTAGTTGGTTGCTAATTTGTTGGCTTCATTATTAAATTTATTGTCACAAAGTATGACAAGATCTAAATTCTCAGATAATGGTGTAATGGTGTTGATAAAAAATAATAAAGAATAGACTGCTCGAGAAATTCAGAAGCATGACTGATAGGTTTATATTTGAGATAAAGAATAAAAAACCAAACAAATTATGAACATCTATTATCCAATATAAATATCATGAAATATATGTATCAAGAAAGGAAATTAAGTAGCAAAGAAATTGAATTTAGAGTAAATAATGAATATCAAATCAGACAACCTAAAGGTGCACATACCATTCTTGATAAACAAAATAATTTCATAGGATTTATACTATCTAAACCTAAACCTGAAAAAAAGAGCATAATATTATTATGGAATATGAATCTTGGTTTTTTCTCAAACAAATTGAAACTAATTGAATGTTATTCAAGGCTTTTTGAACTTATTGAAAAAAAGAAAAATGAAGATAACTATTCAAACTTTGCAGGGTAAATGATTGGTCACGACTTAATCACGAATTACATCATTTATAAAATCATAGTAATAGTGATGTGACCCGAAATCCATTGGATTCCATTTTCATATTAAATTTAGTGAATATCTATTCGATTTAATATGAAAATAGATATTCAATATAGAGGTGCAATCTGTAAACTAGTAGTTAATATAAATAAACTGTAGTTTATTGTAAAACTACAGTTTTATAATAAACTACAGTTTATTTATATTAACTACTAGTTTAAGAATCGCACCTCTAATTCAATATTTTTGAATTCTTTAACTTCATGCTAAATTTTCAATCATTTCAGGATTTTGTTTGGAACAAAGCCCAATACCTAATATCCACTTAGAACATGTAATTAGTTACTCCATGAACATAATTTATAATGATTTCAATAGATAAAACATTTGTTTTTTTTTCATTAACAAAATGAATCTCGTTGCAACAAAAATCGTCTATACAAAAAATTTAACCTAAAGTTTCTGCTAAAAATTCTATAGAGAAAAGCAATTAACCAAAATCCAACCTTTGTACGTTTTTGAAATTTATATCTCTCATCAAAAAAAAAAACTTGCTATAATCAACAATGCTTAACAATTATTAGTAGATTATTTTGCTATAAACTATAGTACTAATTCGGTTAAATTTATCATTATTCTAATTCAGTTTAAATTTGGTTCAACTAAAATTTATAATTTAATTTGACTCAAATTTAGACCATCTAACTCAGACCAAATTTATGTTTTAATTTATTTTTTATTCTAATTCCTCTATGGCGACCCAAATTAATTAAACCAAAATTTATGCTTCAAATTTAGCCCAAATTCATGACCAAATTTGATTTAATTCAGCCTAAGTAAAATCTCAAAATAGTGCTCAGGGATGGAATTGAGCTTAATTTGAGCCAAGAATATGACCTTAATTCGAGATTTTACATCACAATTCAACCTTTTAATTTATGCTCTGAATTGGCCCAAATTCATACTCCAAATAATTAAGTCAAATTTATTCTTCAAATTTATACTAATTCAGCCTAGTTATGACCCAAATTTATATTATGAATGATTGAAAAAAAAGCCTTTTAATGCTGCTGAGAATTCTTTCAAAAATAAAAACAAAAATATTTACAACTACAAACACGATGGTGGAGATCTAAAGGCTGCGTGGTATAGTTTTCAAAAAGCAAGTTTTATAAAATTTATTTTAGTAAAAAAAAAATTATCAAATTTAGTTAATTATGTTACACTTAAAGTTTTAATAAGATGAAATTTTTTTTTTCAAATGTTACATAATAATCAGAATAACATAATAGTCGTAGTCGTAATAGTGATCAAATAGTGTTAGTCATATTAAAAAATCAGATAAAAAATATGTTCATAATTACATCATTTAAAAAACAACAGTTTTAAGTAGATTCATATTCTCTATTTTTAAACAATTTAAAAAAAATAATTGAGACAGTAGATAATAGAGATGAACTTATAAAATATTCCTTTGATAT